GGAGAAGGTTCGGGGGAGGGGAGAGCTGAGCGCAGTGCACGCCTACTCAAGAAGCACCGTCGTTGCCACCGCCACACCCGATCTATCGTCCGGCCTTATTCTAAACGAGAAGGAGCGGGGAAAGGGGTGGTTTTTTCCCCTTTTGGGTAAAGGTTTTGACTGCTCATATAGAATGATTTATAGCATGTCCCTCTTTCGAAACGTATTTTTTGATTTGATTCGCATTCGAAGTTGTGACTTCCGCTCGGTTCAATTGCGGGTAAAAAGTTAAGAAACGATTCACGATTCCACTTTGCAAATGCGTTTCGCACACATTTACTGAAGAGATATTGCACACAGTGACGAGTTTAAAAGGAAAGCAGGACACTTTTTGCATCTGACAGATAAACGAAAGGCAGCTACACAGTTAAAGTCTTACGAAGCAAAATGCCAAATGCTTCGTACCTACGAAGGATTTGCTCCCTACGAAGCGTCCAAATCCTTCGAATCACAAAGGATTTGGTATTTTTCTTCGTAAGACTTTAACAGTGTAACCTTTCTCCTCGTCACTCCTGTTCGCCTGCTTTTAGCCATAGAGCCTCTGCAAACCCTTACCCATCAATAGCAGTGGAACTCACCGCAGAGATCCCACGCGTTGACCTGGTCGACGTTGGCGAGCACGTTCAAGTGGTGGTGGTGGGTTTCTACCACGTTGGTGGAGGTGTGGTACCGACCATACGTGGTTAGTCGCCGGGGCGTCACCCTCACCAGCCACTGGGTATAGTAGTAGGCGAAGAGGGGGTAGAGATGATCGTAAACGCCCTTCTCCCGAGCCCACCTCTTCACCACTTGGAAACCCTCTCCAATTGTCTGCTGTGGGAGGCGAGGCAACGTCCCCAGAAGACGAACGCACTTCCTGGAGAGCAAAAAGTGAGGAAGTGTTATGTATACCAGGTGGCTTATTCACGCCACGCACTTCTGTAGTTATGCTGTACCGTATGCACGCGAGTGCGGGCGGGCTTGCCTATCCCCCCTGTCCGTCCACGGCGCCTTACGAGCCGAGCGAGTAGGCATCCCGCCCGCACACATGCATGCGGTACAGCATAACTACAGAAGTGCGCGGCGTGAATCAGCCACCTGGTATATTATAAATTGTACGGGCTGAGTGTGATGGTGCTACTCGCACTCCTATACCATGATAGCAAACATAACAGTTGACGTTGACATTTCACATTTCAATTGAATAATACCGAAGAAAATAAAGCAGAGCCCAACTTCAAACCATAGAATAAAATATGCAGGGCGTGTCTGTTGTGCCGGCCCATTTTTTTTTTTTCTATTTTTGCCGTACTGTTCGAGCGTGGCACCGCACCATGGGGTTTTTCAATGGAGCGCTGCCCGCAACTAAGAAGAACAAAAACGGATACAGAGAGCGGTGGTGGGGGCGGGCGCGCGGAGGAGCGGCGGGTGGGCACCCCGCCCCCACACTGGTAAAACAAGTGTTTAATTTTGCACGTCAATTGACGTCTAAGTTCAAGTGTGCATTTTCTCGACACTTTGTGGTGTCGAACTATGTTATACGTCAATTGGTGTTTAAACTTTCGACACTTCCGAAACGTATAGCAGCTGCACACCATATGGTTCCCTATTAACAGCATAGAACT